TTGGAAATGATTGATCAAAGCAGACTAGACAATATTGTTAAATATGTAATGCTTTCATTTAGTAACAATCTACTCATTTAGTTATGCTGAATTGCATACCTGCAAAACATCGAATATGTGTCCATCAGTATTATGTATTCATTCTACACTTAAAGAATTGTCATTACTGGGAAACAATGTAGTTCAAATGCAATTGACATCAAATCAGAAAGTTACCACGTACTTTTCCAGATTTCTTTATTTTTATAGGCTCTTTATATATACAACTATAGGACCAATATGCCTCTCTTTTAGTTAAGCTGATAACTAAACAGAAACATTAATATTGGTGGTGAACAGTAAGCTGAACAGGATGACATTGCTTGATTGTTGTAACACAAAACAATAATCACTGCATCCAGTCTGAAAAAAGCATGCCAGAAATGATTTTTTCTGTAATTAATTAAAATCACTTTAAATGTTATCTAAAGCTCCTGTACAAAATCAGTAGCTGTATGTTAATGTGACATAAGTGAGACAAGTATTTTCTTCTTCCATAGAGTTCCTTCTCGAGAGTGGTCTCCTTAAACATGGCAAAGGTCTTTCACATTTTTGCTATAGATACATCTTACTTCTCACTCAGTCGTGAACAATGCATGAATGTGGAGTTTATTCACATGATTTTACTTCAAGTTAAACTTTTTCTGTGTATGAGTCCAGGTTCTGTACTTAAATGATGAACATGATTCTCTTTATTTGCTATTTGCATACTACAGATACTGCGTAATTAATACACATATTCTGATTTTGTTTAACTTTTAAAAAATATAAGTAAAATAATATTGCGTGTATTTGATGTGTTTTGAATTCAATGATTAAGATTTCCTTGTGAAAAGCATTTGGTTTGAATGTGTGTGTAATTTGCAGTCATTGACAATAAGGTATTTATCATAATTACCATAAACCCAGCTGAAGGGCTGAAAACATTTGAGGAGTATTTCAGTAAAGTGCATTTGGGTTCCTATTTTGCTGAAATATGTACATGTGACTATTCATTAATAGTGATAATACCTGTTAAGGTTTGGACTCTCTATTAGTTGCTGAAGTAAGAGACTGATAATTTGGACCCTTTTCACTGTCTCTCTGCTGTCCATCCAGCCAGTAGACATGCCTTTAGAGCAGGGGTGGGCAATCTTACCCGCAAAGGGCCGGTGTGTGTGCATGTTTTTGGAATAACCTGTAGGTCAGCTGATCAAACCCAGGTGTGAGGACTCTTCAGCCAATCAGTTCTCTAATTAGTGACCTGAATAGGGAGTTGCAGTGAAAACCCGCATACACACCGGCCCTTTGTGGATAAGATTGGCCACCCCTGCTTTAGAGTCAAGAAATAAATTTTGTTCACACAGAGGCCTCTTTTGGACAGAAAGGGAACTGCAGGGCAATTATAAGTACTGTCCATCAACAGCAAGTCACACAATGAAACAGGGCCAGTGCTCTATAAGTAACATGTTCATGGTTAAATAAATTGCTTAGTCATATTATTTTGTTTAAAATATGTGACTTACTAGTTATGGAAATAAAATATTCATTCAATTATACCTGCCTTTTTATATCAATTCTGAATAAACCTTTCACAGCTGTTAATAATACAGTAATTCATTATTATCTTTTGTTTATATTTTGATATAATATTAATTTAGTTAAAAAAATTTTTTTTACAAATACTGTATACTAATTAACAATAATTATGAAAGCAAATTAATTAACATTTAATATAAATGAGCATATATTTATAATGAATGTCAATCCACAGCTGGCTTTTTGCATACATTAAGCTGTCACGAATAAAAGATTAGGCTTAAACTTCAAATTGTATTCACTGAAGAGACTGAAAAACATGAATTTATTTTTAAAGCATATTCTTAGCTGCGTTTATTTTATTTTTGGTTTAGGGAAACTGAGTCTTTAAAAGATGATGTTAAGCTGATATTGCATTAGCAAATAAAGGTTTAAAAATACAGTTCCAATTCACTCAGGCACTTTTTTTCTTTGTTGCATTCTTTTTATCAAGCAGCTGAGAAAACTAATTAGACACTGGGAGACATCAGTCACATTCAAAGAACTAATTGCAAAATAAAGGCAGTCATGTGTCCCATTCAGCCTCTTGTAAATGGTTTACAGCGATAGCTTCATTTTCCCTGCTTGTGGCTAATTACAAAGGTTCATAAAAGCCTATACAAAAAGGACAGGGGAACGCGTTTATACCAGCTGCCCCAAGAGGACCAAGGCTAACAATTTAGCCAGAGCAGTAATAAGATGCAGGAGACCACCACACTCTGGAAGGACGTCCCTGTTCATTTCGGCAGCCAAGAAGCTGGGACATAACAGCTTCTTAATTTGCCTCTGCCAATGGGCTGCTCAGCTAACACACACAACAGTCACTTTTATAGCATGATATTCAAGAACATCCATAAAACTTCCCTTGACAATCTTTGGAACTATAAGTTGATGAGTTAATAGTGGTCTTATATTAAATTATGGCAAGAGCCACTTACATTTTTTTTTGCTTTTTTATTGTCCAAATGTGTAACTAGAATTACAACAATATTTTCACATAAATGATTTTTGATCTATAATGCAATAATTATTCTAAGGTGTGAATACATCAGGGCCATAAGCAGACGTATAATACGTATGTTGTAGAGACCTAAATACATTTTGGGATACAATCTATATTTAAGGGCTAAAACATCTGTTTGCACAATAATGTGGAGAAAAAAAACAGTAAAAGGAGCAGAGAGGAAACATTACATTTTTCTAGTGAATAAAATGAAGTAATGCTGACTTTCTATCATGACTAAGTTGGGTAATTAGAAAGGGCTCCAATTTTAATGGAGAATATTCAAACCATGATAAATGACTTTAATAAAGGTGCTTGTAACCCTTTAACAGAGACAAATTCCCCTGACAGTGTCTCCCATCTCCCTGCCTAGAAGATAAAACTGTCCTGCCGATTCTTACTCAGCGCCCTTCATCTTACCTGCCCCGTACAAAAGCACAATGGATGGATCCTGCTTGTTTATGCTGTAGTTCATCACCAAGGTTGTTCTAACAGATGTTTTCTCTTCTCTAAAATCTGTGATTTTTAATCAAAATTAACTTCCAAGCAACGTCATTATAAATAATTACACATGGGCTTTCAATCTTTGCTGTACTGAACATTCTCTTATGGTCTATATATAAAATACACAACTTTGCTAGGATTTAAATGCTGGAAATGTAGTTTGGGTGATTCCGGAGATGGGATACATCAGATGTAATGCATCACAGTCCCACTGCAGCTAATGCTTCCAGGCCTGCTGAGTGGATTGGAAGGTTTTTAGATAAAGATTGTGAGCACTGCGGAATGCAGACTTATGAGGAAGGGAGTAAGTGCATCAAACGGAAGGATGTCTAGTAACTTTTACTTGTGTTATTGCATTTTGTACTCTATTTCTGTCATATAAAATCTAGACTTTAGTTAATAGAAAGAGCGATAGTTATAAAACCCTCTGAAGAACATCCCATTATTGTAAGCGGTCACACTGTACCTGAAGGGTCACAGATAAAGCACTATTGTGCTCGTAATCAAACATGAACCAACTCTTTCTTAATGTACTAATGAACCACAAACTAGTTACAACCCAGTTGGTGAGCTCACTGTTAACTTAAAATTTAGTTAACCATTACTTTACAGTGTAAAATATCATTATCTACCTACTTGATACTGCTAATTATGATTCTAATGAACGAAAAAAGTAGGTTTGCTGAAGCACTACTTATCTATTAATTCTATTATTTAGTGTACTTACAATATTGTACACTATGATGTAATGGATAACTAAATGTTATATTAACACTGAGCTCAGTGACTTGCTGCTAGTATATGATTAAATAAGAGCATAATATTACATTATTTGTGACCCCTCAAATAAAGTGTTAGTTATATTTGGCTGCATCTATCTATGAAAAGGGTTCTACAGCATTGTTCATTATAGAGACCTGTAGTTATACATGGATTATCAGTATTCATATTTTTATAGCTTTTTCTGTCTGTCATTTTGCCTGGATTTCTGAGTCTAATTGCCATGTTTGCATGTTCTCCCCGTGTCATTGTGGGGTTTCCCCCAGGATTTACGATATCCCCCCCCCCTCACAGTCCAAAGACATGCTAAGCTGAATTGGAGTTGCCAAATCGTCGGTAGGTGTGTGTGTGTGTGGTCTAGGTATACCTTACCTTCCCCACAACGTTATGAATACCCATTTATTTTCTACCATATGGGAACCAGTTTCCTGGTCCCCATATGGGAAAACTCTGTTTTATAAAAATC